CCCCGCGCCCGTAGGCGCCCCCCCCCACAAATTGGGGCGGGACGGGGCGGGCGCCCCCCCCGCCATGAGCGGGACGGTGATCCCCGGTACGCCCATCGCCGTGGACTTCTGGAGCGTGCGGAGGGCGGGCGGCGCCCGCCTCTTCTTCCTGTCGCACATGCACTCGGACCACACGGTGGGGCTCTCCAGCACCTGGAGCCGCCCGCTGTACTGCTCGCCGCTCACCGCCCGCCTCCTCCACCGCCGCCTCCAGGTAGGTGCGCCCAGCCGCCCCGGTCGCCTCGGCCCGGCCCGGCCCGTCCTCACCGCTCGGCCCCCCGCAGGTGCCGACGCGCTGGATCCGGCCGCTGGAGGTGGGACAGAGCCACGCGCTGGGCGACGAGGTGACGGTGACGCTGCTCGACTCCAACCACTGCCCCGGCTCTGTCATGTTCCTCTTCGAGGGCGCCTTCGGCACCATCCTCTACACAGGTACGGGGGGGGCCCCCGCGCCCCCCGCCGCCGCCCCCGCCCCGCCCTGACGGCCCTGTCCTTGCAGGGGACTTCCGCTACACCAGCGCCATGCAGGGCGAGCCGGCGCTGAGGGGCCGCCGCGTCGACCGCCTCTACCTGGACAACACCCACTGCCACCCGCACCGGCCCCTGCCCTCGCGGCAGCACGCCACGCGCCAGGCCGCCCACGTCATCCGCGCCCACCCGCGGCACCAGGTTGTCATCGGTGAGTGCCGCCTCGCACGGCGGCGGGCTCGCCTCGCCCTCCCCTCGGCGGGAGCTCGCGCCCTGCCGCCGGCGCGCTGTTGATGGCTCTCCTCGCAGGTGTGTACAGCCTGGGGAAGGAGACGCTGCTGGTGGACCTGGCCGTGGAGTTCAGCACCTGGGTGGTGGTGAGCCCCTGGCGCCTGGAGCAGATGCGGCTGCTGGAGCTGCCCGACGTGTTCACCGCCGAGGAGGGGGCCGGCTGGATCCGTGCTGTGGACGTCACTGAGATCCGCTGGGATACCCTTGTCAGCTGGAACATGCTGCACCCCACCATTGCCATCCTCCCTACCGGCAGGCCCGTGAAGGTCACCCACCCCAACATCCACCCCATTCCGTACTCGGACCACTCATCCTTTTCGGAGCTGTGCGAGTTTGTGAAGTGGCTGAAGCCTTGCTCGGTCATTCCGATCGTGAGGGGTGGCACGTGCCAGGCTTACTTTCAGAAATACCTGAGTTCTGACCCCCAGGCGCTTCCTGACCTCAAAATCCCAAAACCTGTGCAAGAGTCTGTACAGCAGCAAAGCAAAAAGAAGGGGCAGGAACCCCTGTGTCTCTTGAAAAGAGCCGCCTGGCATTCTGTGCCCCGAGGAGTTGTTTATGAGTCCCCAGAGAAATATACTGAGGAATCTGAAGCGTCCACTGGTGTTAAGGTTCCTCAGCAGAACTACTGTGAGTCAGCTTTCTGCTCAAAAGAAGGCTGCGCTTGCCACACGGGCAAGGGGAAAGGGAAGGAAGAGCTGAGCGGAGAACAGCCAGGAGTAGCACGAGCAGCTAGCAATGTTAGCCAGGCACTTGTTTCTGATGAGCACTTTCCAACTGGGTTTGCAGAGCAGTATTTACTCACTCCCTTAAGTGTCCTAAAGCAGAATTCCTCACAGAAATTTAATGAGCTGGTAGAAGATTTCTTTAGGAGGGGAGAAGCGCTCTGAAAAATTGCGTGACATTTGCCAGTGCCAATGCCGTTGATAGCAGTGATTCTAGAGGTCTTACTACTGCATCCCATTCTCTGTGCTCAGGTTTCTCATCAGCAGAGAGGAGCTCAGCTATGGGGCTCTACTTTCTTTACCTCTTGTTAGAGGACAAGGAGGAAACTAGAGCCAGTTTGTAGGCAGTAGAATTTTTAAAAATTTATTTATTCTTATATCTCTGTCAACATCTGTTGGGTCTCCACACTACACTTGGGAAGCTCAGTCCCACTATGGGCATGCCTTGTATCCACTTTTTGCAGTGACTTACCTGTCTCTTGTGACAAAAGATACTGCCAGGTCGATTCAAGTGAGCTGCAGAGGGTGTCAGCTGCCTGCAGCTGAAGTAGTTAATGGGGACATATGTGATGAAAGTAGCAAGAAGGGGGAATCTGAGAGCCCCAAAGATTCTGCTTTCTATATGTCTGTAATGCCTCATTGACTATGACTGGTTCACTCCAAGATGTATTACAAATATTATGTATTAAGGTACATTTAAAAAATGGTGCTTAAAGAAATCTAGAAAATGAAGTGCCTCCAAGTCTATTAATCTATTTTCTATCTATTAGTCTACAAATAGCTCCAGACAGCACTGCTTTTGCATCCAGCCAACTGCAGCTGGATGCAGTTCTGCTCTCCTGAAAGCACCATCTTAATGTTAACTGTCAATGGTTTTTCAGGTTACTGGCTGGAAGAAATAGGCATTGTTTGGGTTCTTGAGTTCTGGACTTTCCAGAATGGGTTACTAGATCCTCTGCAGTCTCTGCACTCAAGTTTGCATGTCTGAATTCTGCTTGACTGCAAAGCACTTCTGGTAACTGCCAGCATTCTGCTAGGCCCACTGCCTTCCCATCCGCTGCCTGTTCTTATCACGCAGTGGTAAATGGGATGGAAGATAATGAGACATCTGCTTAGTGGTGTAAAGTGCTCAGTCTTAGCAGCATTGTTTGGGAAGAATACTGTGGCTGAACAGCAAAATTGGCTCTGTGAGTTAGTGGGCAGGCACTTTGCAGTACCAGATCAACTGCAGAGAGCCACAGCCTGGCTGGTGCAGTCAGGAAGTTTCAGCAGTGTGACTAGCCGGCGGGTACCATTGTGGAGCCTGGAAACACTGTCATTGTCTGTGTCAAGCTGCACTAGCAACATTACAAATCGGCTCCCCATAGGGTCAAGGCAGCAAAACTAGAGTGGAAATAGTCACTAGGCTCTTTCCTGGAGCAACAAACAAGCTCGTTACTGGGCTTTGTCTAGCCTCCTTTTTGTTACTTTCAATGCAAAATGTTTCACTTGATTTTGGTCAGGATCAGAGGCTCTTCTGAATGTAGTGTCCTGCAAGATCTCTCTAAGACCAGTCAGCTAGATGGATTGAATTCCCTGAATCAAGCTAGAAAAGGAAGCATTTGCTCTTTGCTTTTCACAAGCCCCAGCTTTACTCAAAGATGCCTGTAGATGCAGCAGCCACACCTGTTAAAAACAAGGCTGTCCTGAACAGTAATCATGATGACAGCCAGAGTGGGTATGTTTGGAAAGCTGTTTGGCAAACATGAGTCCTAACTCCCAACCTTGTGCCTTCCCAGGCACTGCAACATTTATCACTATAATAAAAGCAGTGCCTCTCACTGGGACTGCCAGTTGATTCTGCCTGCCAGCTGCTAAGGGGACGTTGGAAGTGATGGAGCAGTGTTCTGTGAAGTACATTTCAAAAGGGGTAGCAAGGGCAGCTCAAGCTTCTTGCTGTGGTCTTTATTTTTTGCTTTATTATTTGCTAATCAAAACTCAACTGCAGAGCTCCATCAGGTCGGTGTGAGTGGAGACACCTGCATCTTTTGTAACATTTGAGACTGCCAGGTAAATAATTGTGCTATGCTTGCAGTGTTTTGTCTGCTGCTGGCTGCCTTGGAGATGCAGGCTGTTATTTAAATATTGTTGAAATTTAAGTGACTCATTTGACAGGCAGGTGAGTGAAGCGCTGCCTGAACTCCCAGATTCCATGTCCTGCTCTCGCCTGCAGCATCTCCATTGCTCAGAAGGAATGCTTGCCTTCTGAGTCACTGCTCCATTTAGGTATGTTGCAAATGACCTTGGAGCTCAGATGCATTTCTCTGCTGAAGTTTTGTGGGTCCAGCCTTCCCTCTTTTATTCTTATCAACCGTTCTTATCTATCATTTATTCAAGTAAAGAAGGAGAGAACCTCCTGGTGAACCTCTGGGCAAAACAGAGTTGTAAATGGCAATTCTTTACAAAGGCAACTCTGATTCTTAGATCACACAAAAAGAAGTGGAAAATTGCAGAGACTTCAGAAGCTGGGGATCTGCACCCTATTTCTGAACGCTTAGTTAAAACTGCAGAAGAAATGCTGGCTTCTGTTACTAGAGCTTAAAAGGTAATTCCTGCCACTTCAGAAAGAAGTTATCCGAATTCTGTAGAGCCAAGGAAACCTAAAATCTCTCCATGGTTTTAAAAGGCAATAGAAGCAGGAGAGATCTGACCAACAGTCAGCACGTTGGAGATCTTTGCCTTGGCACAGCAGATGCATGAGGCATTTTAGAGTGCCACAGGTTTCCTCCCTCTCTTAGGTGTTAAAATACTATTTTTTTGTGTTATTCTAAAATCCTGGAAAACAAAACATGGCCTCATGGGCAAAACTGACTATAGTATTGTTGAGCTCTAAGGTTTCTGAAGATCCTTCAGCTTCCCCTGAAGTCTCCTGGCAGTAAATAGCTGGCCTTTTACAGGCATTGTTCTCCCTCACACTTGCCTCCAAAGTTTCCTTCTTTTCCTACCACCAGCCTAGCTCACAGGGGAGTGTTACTGCGGTCAAGAGCTGGAGCGTCATGCACACCAGGGTCTGAACATGCTGCTTCCAGCTCAGCTGCACAGGGCTCTGTCAACACTGCTACCACAGGTGTGTTTTGCTCACAACAGTGACAACGAGAAGCTGTAGCCAAGTACTAGCTTGACTCTGGGTTATCTAAGGGCCATGTGCTTGGAAACTTACAGTTATCCCAGGGGGAAAAAAAACCAAATGCTGCTCAGACCAAAGCCCTCCCAAATCTATACATGCAGAGCAGCCTTAAGCTGCTTATCTCTGTTCCACACTTGGGAACCAAGCCCCAATGGGATGAAATGACCCACCCAAGGCCTTACAGAGCCTACAGAGGAGCTAGGAATGAGCTGTTTTCAACACTTTTAACAAGCTGTGATCAAATGCTGGCCTGTCATGAGGGCGGCAGGGCAGGCTTATGGTTCTGGGAGTAGGGCTGCCTGCTGAGTTCCTTCCACACAGTCGCCTGTGAAAGTCCAATCACTATACTATGAAACAGTTTAGTTGGCCCTAGCTTCTCTAAAGCAGAGTAGAAAACCATGAAGGGGCACCCTGCCTATGCTATGGAGAGGAGGAAAAGTACCCTTTAGGTTGCTGCCCAGAGACCAACGTAAAACTTGCCTAGCTCCTGTGCTCCACAGCAAACAAGCGTATAATGTAACTTTCTAAGGGAACGCTGTAGAGCGCTCTGCTCAGTAGTGTTTCTAACTCAGCTTCCCATACTAAAAGGCTGAAGTGCTTATGACAACTTCTCTCTTCTCTGCTGCAGAGCTGCTGTCCATTTTTGCAGCGCAGGTTCTTACTGTTATTTTCTAGATAAAAAGAATTGTGTAATGGGGAAACCTTTTCTTCTTCACCAAGAAAACTAATTCAATGAGCTTACATAATTTCCTATATGGTGTGTTGTAGCTTTGGGCTTGTTCCAAATTAACCTCAGGTCTAAATCTCTGGCTTTGTGCTCGTTTATGGAGCTCTCTGAAAATGTAGTAGAACATGTAGCAAAGGAGAAAAGGTAGAGTCACCCTCATCATGTGAGGTGCCTTCTTCAGATGCGCTGCTGTCTGGCTATGGGTATTCTGTGTGCATTTGCAATTCCTTCTACTAAATTTGGGCTCTTTTGCTAAGGTCGCTACAGTGCCAAAGTTTTCCTTGCTGTCACTTTGTACTTGGCCAAATGCCAGCCTCAGCACAAGTGGCCATGAGCATGCACTAAATCAACTGGGACAGACCTTACTTGACAGCAAGCCTCTTGGCCTGGCTCAGGGAGTCTGTGACTTTGTGAGCAGGTGCCCGGGAAGATGAAAATATTTTCCTTTTGTGTGTGTGCTCCACTCACAACAGACCTGTGGAATGGAGCACCACATTATCCTATGATTGGTTTCCAGGCATTGCTCCTGGTAAATGGTGGAGCGTAGGACTCAGGCCATCTGGAAAGCCATGCTCCCCACCCCAACAGGCAGGAGCTGCAGAATTGCATGGGGGAGGAGGAGGGAGAGCCTGGGGAGGCAAGTTCCCCCCTTTCTTGTAGGGGATGAGTTCCACAGTGAGCCCAGGGCACAGACCATGTCAGGCTCCCTTGGGTTTCAAGGGGCTCTGAGCCAAGCCCTCGCTGAAGTGAGTTCTGTGCTTTCTTGCTTTGCAGTTCACTGTAAACCTCCATAAAAAAAGGCCGAGAGAAATGCAGCCCCCAAGTCCTCCATGCAGGACTGAGACCTTCCTTTAGCAGATAGTATAGAGGGGTGAGCTTCTGAACAGTGTTTTGCTGGCGGAAGAAAGTGGAAAATGTTATTTCTTGAATCTTAAGCACACACACACATTACTTGTAGGATTTTACACAAAAGAGCAATACTATCCTGTTCACACTTACCTGCTGGCAGCTTGTCTCGCTGTCCATTACAATGTTATTTAGTTCCCCAAATCATGACTGTAGTTAGAGTTGCCCAGCACTCTTTCATGGAAAAAAGTTGCACTTAAGTTTCTGCAAAGCAGAAAACCTCCTCAGTACACCCTGGGCTTTCTCCCTCCCCGGGGGATCTGACAGTGGCCCTGAGGATGGTTTAGAAAGGCGCTTGTGTAATAGTGAACACCACGATGAAGGCTCTGTCAGTGTGCATTCCCGGATCTGAATTTTAGTGTGTGTCTGCGTGAACTCTCCCACCCATCTGAGGTGGAGCACTGTGCTGACTGGTGGGGGCCTCAGCTGGAGAAGTCATGACTGTCGGGAGGATGGATGTGCCCATGTGGGGAG